ACCTACTGGTCGCCCTTTCTCAGCGTCTACTTCGGCAGTCAAATTGTGCTGCAGTGCTACGTCGTCTACATTTGCTTCTTCATCCCCTCGTTGCCGCCCATCGTGAAACTGCTGGCCACCGCCTCCTTTGCCGTCTTTCTCGCCCTCCTCTTTGCCATGATCAGCACCTGTGCTCAGCTGGCAGCCGGCAACGACCGCCTGGAGCAAGCAAATAAACGGTTTTGCTTTCAAATTGCTTCTGTTTCTGTTTCAATGGGCGGTGCTGGGCTAAAAAACGGTGTCAGTGGTGGTAGAGGGAAATGGTGTCGGCTGCTGATTAAAGTAAAGTATAGCATGCCTCAGATGTTGTTGATAAGCTTTATCAAATACTACTCTTTTAGGCCGAGTGGCTCCAGACCAGTGGCCGTCTGGAGCCGTACTGTATGGTACTACTGGACAACTACGCAATCTCATCGAAAACTTTTTATTTGGTAAAAGGCCATTTTTGTGTTTAGATTTCACACTTTTATATTTACAACTTTTATTATAATTGTTTTTAGGTCACCTCTTATGCTGCACTTTTCTTTCTGGTCATCTTTAAGCAAAATGGCAATTTTTAAACGCCTGCAAACTATTCTTTCAATTTGGGTAGTTTTTTGTTTCGGTTGCTGCTGTTGTTCTTCTTGTTGTTGACCTCATCACTAAAGCTGCCATTCGTTCCGAAGAGGTAGTCAATTAGACCGCTGTTGCCGAGGTTTTTGTCCGGTCTGCTCAAATTAAATAAAATGATTTTTTAAATCAAAAGTTTTTAAGTAAATCAAAACACTTTAACATGTGGTTACCTAACGTGATGATACTCGTGAAACTCTGCAAACCACAGCTCTCCGGGAAAGCAGTACCCCGAGTGAACCTTGAGCAGCATCAACTGGACGAGGACCATCCAAATGGAGGCCACCGCTCGGTGGCAGCCCATCACCAGCGGCCCCGCCAGTATGGGCACCTGATTGGCAATGTACTCCACCGGATGGACGTACAGTGCGGACAGCGCAATGGGCGTCAGCCAGCGGTGGTGCACCGAATGGTACTTTCGGTACAGCTTCCGGTTGAAGTGGAACTCCCGGTGGATGACGTAGGCAATGGGGTCCTGCAGGACGATGAACACCGCCACCTGGTAGACGATGGTGGAGAGGGGCGGCACCTGAGGGCGGGCGTCACGGCCCACCCACCCGTAGACGAAGTGGGCGAAGAGGGCAGTCAGCAGCTGGGCGGTCAGTTGGTTGGTCAACACCAGGGCGGCCATTTTGAAGAGCAGTCTGCCGGTGATCTAGGGAAGCATTTTGTACAATAAAACAGTTTTTAAAAACTTTTAAAAAGTGTTTTAAAAAAAATGGTTTACCGGATACTTTGACGATCGCGATTTGTAGCGGTAAATGAAAGCCGGCCAGTGCGTCAGATCGACAAAAGTGTACAGCAGAGCACCGGACCAGAAGACGGCCATTGAGAGGAAGACGTGACAGGCAATGTCGGCGAGAAGGGCATTTTCCGGTTTCTGGTGAGCAAAGAGACCGCTGTAGTACCAGTCGTAGGCAGTCTGAAGGCCATTGGTGGTTGACTGCGATAGGGTGTTCCAGTAGTGGTAAAGTGGGCTGCTAAAAACAGTGTTGTTGTTGTTGCTGGTAGTACTGATAAAAACGGGATGAATGTCGATCATCCCTGCCAGAGTTTCATTTAAATTTTTCATCATTTTTCATTTATCGTGTAAGTTAAAAAAAATGGCATAGAAGATAAAAAAATAATTAAATTGCAAAAGCAAATGAAAGAAAAAGGTATTTATTTATCAGGCAAAAAGCTCAAATTTGTGTGTGTGATTTTTTCACTTGCTAAAACACAACGTTTGTGAACTGTTTTATATCCTTTCCCAGTGTACAATGTTTTTTGTTTCTGATATCGCATGACGTGCTATGATGAAAGATTGCCTCTTGTTCTCATCATGATAATAAATAGTATTTTTTATGAATTTTCGGCACGTGAATCACAAATACATTGTTTTAGTAAAAAACAGTGTTATTTACTTAATGTTAACCTGTGAGTACAATGTCATTACTCACTGATCAAAGTGTCAACAGATAGGAAAATGCACATCAACTTTTAGCGCTAAAAAACATACATCGGGTGTGATGTTTCTGCTAAATACAATTCTTTAATGTGATTTACCCATCCGGGCAACAATAAATAACCACAAAGTCATACAGCTTACATTTAGGATTTTAAAAAGCATTTTTATGCGTAAAAACCAACATTAATTACAGTTGCTGTTACCAGGCAAAAAGTTTTGCAAACAATTTGCTTATTAATTAATTTCTGAGTTTTTATATTTGCAAAATTTTTATTTTTTTTAATTACAACAAATCAATCAAACAAAATCAAACAAGTTTAAGCATTAATGCAACACCGGAAAGACGGGAATATTATTGATGCCCATCAGATTGTGGTGACGCTCAATCTTGGCGTGGCCGTGATTGCCCCAACCTGTGAACAAGTTAAATAAAAAAAATTATTTCAATAATTTTTCACAAAAAAGAAACCTAGTAGTAGTACCTTCTCCCCAGCTATTTCTGATGATCCAGTAGTCGACGCCGTGTTCGCTGCCCCAGCCGACCAGCAGCACCGAGTGCGTGGTGAGGGCAATGTTGGGCATCAGATTGCGAATCACCCCCGAGCGGTAGTGCTTGAAGACGGCATCGTGGTCGTTGATGTTCACCACCACCGGGCCGAAGTTCTTCACCGCCGACTGCAGCGCAGCGTCAGGACCTCGACCGGCCAGCCGCCGGTAGTCGGTGATCTGGTAGCGCCTGTGGCCGCCCAAGTGCGGCAGCTGACATTGGCCGTTCTAAAATGTGGGAATTTTATTTGTGTTAGAAAAAAAAAATAAGTTCTAGAAGAGTTCTAAAAGGTGCCCGCAGTGCTCACCACAGCCCGGTAGGTGTAGAAGTGCTCCTCGAGGGCGCCATGCTCCTTGAAGTACTTCAGCGCCTCGGTGGTGTAGCCCGACTGGCAGCCNTAAAAGGTGCCCGCAGTGCTCACCACAGCCCGGTAGGTGTAGAAGTGCTCCTCGAGGGCGCCATGCTCCTTGAAGTACTTCAGCGCCTCGGTGGTGTAGCCCGACTGGCAGCCTCGGTTGATGTAGTGGCGGTTGTAGGAGTTCAGCGTACAGTCCACCAGCTCCTGCTTTGACAGGCGGACATGGACGTTTCGGTGAATGGCGTACGCCGCCTCCACCGACTGAACAGTGGCAAAGGCCCAGCAGCTGCCGCACTGTCTGCAACCAAAAAATATGATGAAAAATGTGAGGAGGAAAAAAAGGTTAAAACGGGTTAAAAGTTACCGCTGGTTGTCCACCGGGTTCCAGCGAAAGTGCTCTCGCCAGTCCCAGTGAGCGGGCAGTGATTCGTAGTACTGCCCGGAATCTTCCTCCAAAAGCGGAACCTCTTCTATCAGACGGCTCTGATTAAGAGTAAACTCCGAGTTGAGGTGAGCATTTCGGGCAAAAAACTCCTCATCAGATTGGTCGGAAAACTCGTTGACGCCCAGCTGAGCGCCATTGACGTTTTGATGATTAGCAGCGGCAATGAAAGCGAGGTTTTGCTCAAAGATGGTTTTTCTAAGTGACTCTTCCTCTGTTGAGGCATACGATTTGCCGTAGAATGTCTGTGGTAAAAAAATGACTTAGGTTAGTACAGTTTAATTCTTCAAAAAAGTAAAAAAGTTTATTTACTTTAAACTGTTCCCAACTGTTGATTTCAGTTGATTTCAGAACAGCACAGTTGCCAATGGTTATAAGACAAACGGTAAAAATTAAAAACTTCATTTTCAAATTGTTTTTAAATGCCAAAAAAATGTTATTTGGCATCAATTACTATTGGACTAACGAGCGATTTATAAGCTACTTTTATATTATACCATAAACGTTTGTAAATTGCCTTCACAATTAAAAGTGCTCAATTAACACTTTTGATTTTTAACTATGTGCACATTTTTGTTATTAATCAGCAGCAAAATCAAATGTAAAACCCAATTTAAACTTTTGCTTAAAGTTTAAAAAAATTAAATTTTGAGTAGTTGGCCGCTGCGCCATAAAAACAGTTGAAGGGCTTTCTCTGTGCCCATCAACTAAGTGCAAAAAAAGTGATAACAACGCCAACAATCATCCAACAAACGTCATTGTTTCCCACTCATAATCAAATACTAAGATAATTAACATAATTGTTTTTATTTTACAAACAACTAAAAAAATTGTGCGCATTTATACTTTCACAAAAATTTATCACAAAGCAGGATTTTTTAAAGAATTTGCTTCCTACTGTTTAGCGCATAATCGGATAGCTGAACCAGTTGTTCAGGCCGACGAGATTGTGGTGTCGTTCAATTCTCGCGTATCCGTGCTCGCCCCAACCTGAATATTATTGTAAATATTTTTTGTGTTAATAATAGTTAATCAGTTTCCCCATTATTCCCATCAGCTCCTACCTTGTCCCCAGCTGTTCCTGATGATCCAGTAGTCGACCCCGCCTTCAGTGCCCCAGCCAATCAGCGCCACCACGTGATTGACCGTATTACTGCCGGGCAGCAGATTCCGCATGATTCCCCCGCGGTAGTGCTTGAAGACGTCCGACGTTCCGTGGATGACCACCACGCCGGGCGCCGTACCGTGGAGAACGTTCATGATCGTCCCATCCTGCGCCCAATTGCCCAGTCGGTAGTACCCGTCGACGTGGTACTTCGGGTGGCGGCTGCCGATGCTGCCACTGTAGCACCGTTCATTGCCCAGACCCCGGTAGGCGTAGAAGGCCTCCTCGTAGACGCCGTGCTGCTGCACATACCGGTAGGCGTCATTCGGGTAGCCCAGCGTGCAGCCCTGGTTGTGGTAGCTGGGGTCAAAGTGCTGGGAGCTGCAGTCGACCAGCTCCTGCTTTGATAGGCGCACTTCAGTGTGGTGGCGAAAGGCGGTCAGAATCTCCACGGTGGCCAGCGTGGCGAAGGCCCTAAAATAAAACAAAGTGAAATCAAGTTTAAAAGTTTAAAAACTATCAAATTTTTGTTGTTATTTTTTACCAGCACGACCCGCAGACGCCCTGCTGCTCGATGGGATTAAAGTGGGCGTGCTCTCGCCAGTCAAAGTGCGTCGGCAGCGCGGCGTACTCGTCCTCATTCAGTTCCGCCGGTAGGTGGTCCGCCGTCTGAGAGGTTAAATTAACCGGCGGCGTGGCGCTGTTCATGGCGAGGAACTCGTGTTCAGACTGCCAGATTAAAATAAATCAAAATATTTTGGTTGAAATAAAAGTTTAGATTTTTAAAAAGCGCAAAATTTGTTTTACCAAATCAGAAAGTGCGTTGATGCCCAGCACGACGCCATGTTTGCCCTGGTTCTCCTGCACGTACTTCAGTGAGCGTTCAAAGTTTTCCCTTCGAAGTGCCTCCTCCTCGGCAGTGCTGTACTTTTTGCCGTAGATTGTCTTGCAGAAATAAGGAAAAAATTGTTTTCAATAATTGATAACTTAGATAGTTTGGAAACAAAATGAAACTTACCTTGAACTCTTCCCAGCTGATCTCTTCCGGGTGCTGAAGGGGACCAGCCAGAGAAAGTGAAACAACCGAGGCCACCACTAAAGCTGATATGGACAGATAAAAGAATTTCATGTTTGCGTTTGTTTGTTTGTTTGTTTGCTTGTTTGTCCTTGGCAGTGGCAATGAAATGCAAAGTGTGTAGTATTTAGCAGTGTCTTCTTTGTTTCAAAACAGAACAGCTAAAACAACGCAACTTTTGAAGCACCACAACTTAAGTCTGCTAGTCACCACTTAGCCAGCCTAACTCAGTTGTGCTGCACCAGTAGCCAAGTGTGCCTGTCTGTGTTTATATAACTGAAAAATCAAGATCAGTCAACAGTGATGACAGTGATAAGTGCTGCTTAGTGTGTGTGTGTGTGTGTGTGTGTGTGTTCAAAGCAAGAAAAGCGATTGATTGAGAGGGGAGAAAAAGAAGATGTAGTAGTCTGAAATCTTATCAAAGGTCAATACTAGTCACATCCGTAAGAGTGAGAGTGAGAAAAGAAGCACTTGACTGGATGGCTGCGACTGCTGCCTCTGCTTATCAAGCTCAGACAGTCAGTCAGTCAGTCAGCTGATGATAAGCCGATGTTATCAACACTGCTACTACTACTACTACTACTGAAGATGATGATCAGGCAGGCAAGCAAAGCCATTGCAAAGAACAGCAGAAAGAGGCAAAAAGAAAGGGTCGTGATTGCGAGGAAAGGAGCGAGATGGTCATGGGAGATATCAAAGCAAATCTTTTACTGCTAAACAAACTGATATTTTAGAGAGTGCAATATTTAAGTGTGTGTGTGTGTGTATGTAGCACACTGCATTTAGTTATTTTAGTTTCAGTTGCTAATCATGTGAGAAG